TATATATATACTCTCTCTCTCTCTCTCTCTCTCTCTCTCTCTTATATATATATATATATATATATTTATTCTCTCAAGATTAATTAAAGTCATGAAAAGAGATTTTAAAGCAATTATTAGCCAGTAACGATGTAACTTCTTCAGAGCATTAATCCTTTATAAGATTAATTTTTTAAATATAGAGGAAAATTCAATAGGCAATTCAATAAGAAAATTCAAATGGCAATAAGTAATCAAATACTATTATAATAACCGCAATCATAAATAGCAAGGATAAAAAATCAAATAGTAATTCGATACATTGAATATTTAAAATGAATAACAGAAACTGACAATCTTAACTTTTAACGAAATCCAATATCATTTAGTCATATAGTTCTTATGTAAATATCATAAAAATATAAAATGATAAAATTAAATTACATATTATATAAGACATTAAATAATATTGATTAAATACTATTTGATAGTAAAATTGAGAAAATAAAAATACGTTATAAATTTTTTAAAAATTCAATATTTGATCATCAATGAAATCAGCAATTTTTTTTTTTATTAAACAATTCAAAATTATCAAAATTTTATGATTATATGCGAGATTTATATTTAGAAATATCAATAATTAATCATATAATATCAATATTAGAAAATTAATAAAATAAGATTAATAAAATATTAGAAAATATCAATATTATTAAAAATTAGAAAAAGAGCAATCTATATAATCATCTCCTCAGATAAATTAGAGATATTATTTAATGAATACTTAAGTGATATATATGAGATCGAATATCAAATTTGTGTGACGGAATCAATACATAGAGAAATGTGGAAAGGAATAGGACCGAAAGTAAAGTGCGACCAATGTCACATCATCGGCCACTATTAATTGGTTTATTCCGTGATGTGTCATCTCTTTAATTAATGCTCTAGAGAAGTCAACAAAGGCGTTTCTCGTTTAATACGATGAGTCACGTGCCATACATCGCATGATACCTTACGGAAACTGAAATGAACTTTGTAACTCGAAGAAAAAAGTCCATGATGAGAAGAAGTTAATATAGTTTCTATGTAAGTTTTTTTATACATTTTCATATAATCGTGGAAATTTCTGAATTATTTGATTGAAATAATTACAATATAATTATAAGCGATGTAATTGTAAAAAATAATAAATACTGATAATTGAAATTTGTTGAAATGCAAAAATTTTAACGATAAAACTGCAAAAATTTTAACGATAAAACTGCAAAAATGAAAATAGAATTATTAAATTATTAAATTCATTTTGAGAAATAATTGCATATGAAAATTGCAATGGATATAAAAATTTTAATTTTTTTTTAATTTCTCAAAAAATAAATAATAAGAAAATTAAGAATATTATGAATTATTAAAAGATTAATATGTTAAAATAATTACATGAATATTTTAAATTTTAGAAAGATTTAAAATCAAATATACTTAAAAAATTATTTCTATTCCAAAAACAATATATTTCATTAATATATTTATTAAAATTTAAAAAAAAAATATTTGACTTTTTTTATTCTTCTTCATTAATATTTCAATACATTCTTTTTTGCTTATAAAAAAGGAATAAAATGTTAAAAATTATATTATCTATCGACTTATTTTTAAGCTCTTAAAAACTATTGTGTCATATTGTGTCATATTTTATTAAATTCTCATGAATGATAGCTTTTATAATAATAAATAATAATAATGATAGAAGTTTCAATTTACCTATGTAAAAATTTTTAGCTTATTTTTTTGACTATTATCAAGTGTTATTCCTTGTTTCCGTAACATTCTAAACATATAAAATTCATTATTGAATATTAACATAGAAACAATACATTTCAATCATTTCTCTCACAAATTCAATCTATTGAATATTGTACATTTTTACCTCATGAATTATAAATATATATTCGCATTGATAAAAATTGCAAATGTTTTTATATTAAGAGCAGAAATATTATTGATTTTTTATATAGAAGACACATGATCAAGGGTTTATAAATTGCATTTATAAAAATTTAGTCAATTTTACAGAAGTAAAAGAAGAAATAACTTTACGTTAAATTCAATTAATTCTGCAAAACTAAAAAAACTAATTTTTTTGAAATAAAAAAATATTAAAATATTAAAATCGTAAATATAAATTTATAATAAATAAACACAAAAAAATCTTTCAAGAATTAGAATAGTCCCAATGATAATTAATTTTATTAATAATAATTAATAAAAAAAAAATTTTAAAAAGAATTGAAAAATATGCAAAAACATTTCATTTTTCAAAACAATGCATTAAAATTTTATTTATGAATAAATGCAAAAAAACGAGAAAAATTTATATAACACACATTGGCATTTTCAATTAACTTCAAATTTTTTATAACTTTTTTTGAGTGATACTATTTTATAGACAGACAAAATAATGTTTTTTATTCAATAAAGTATTCAAAAACAATTCATTTTATTTCTTTTTGTTTCGTAAAATTCCAATTAAATCCTGTATTTTATTTCTACATATATATTCTTAATAGAGAGAAGATAATCTTCCAATCATAATTTTTTTCTAATAGAATATTTAAAAAAATATTTAAAATTATTTTAAAAAATATAATTAAGAAAATATTGTAAAATTAAATTAATAGAAATTAATAGAAATTAATAGAAATTATAAATCTGAATTAATAAATTTTCCTATCATAAAATTTCAACGTATCTTAACAATTATATTGCATATTCTGCTTTTAATAAATATTTTAAAGGTGATTGTAATTCAATGAAAAAATTTTTAAAATATGAAATATATGAAAGAAATTTTTAAATACAAAAACATTAAACATAATTCTCACTATATTTGCCTCTTTTAATCAACATAATGTGTCTGACTATATACGAGGCTGTTCCACTGTAAAACTTGACAAAACAAATTTGAAGTGAACGCGAATTAACGATGAACAATAAATTTTTTATTTACTTTTTGTCTCATTTTAGTCACTAATAAAAATTATAATAAATATCTCAATTTTATTGATAAACAGAAAATATAAAGAAAATAATATTGCGAAGAAAAATTTCGAACAAAGATATACACAAAATTTCTAAAGAACTTTATTCCAGCAAAAATATACACAGAGATATTGAAAAAATATAATTAATAAATTTTAAGAAAAGAAGATGAAATATAATCATAGAAAAGAATAATTGAAGATATTTGATGATTTTTTGAACAAAAAATTTATAAAAGAATTTGAAGTGTAACATAAATTTAGATTTAAAGCAAGCTTATACTTTTTTTTATTATTTATTTTTATCTATATGTATATAGATTTCATTTTAATAAGTTATTTAACAATATATATAAATATTCATTTTATATTATTTTAATGATTAATCTGATTATATTTACATTGTTACGAAATTTAAATATCTAGAAATATTTTTAATCGTAAAAGATATAAATATGATAATTTATTATTATTATATTATAAATAAATTTTTTCTTTTATTCATTATAAATTTAAACATAATTGATATAATAAATTTAATACAATCATTTATCTGATTGAAGAAATATTCACGAATGTATTGATTCATCTTTCATTTCAAAAAAAATATATATATAAAATATTTTTCATGTTTTGCAATACTTCTTTTTATCTTATTGATATAAGTAAGAAAACGAAAATCAAAATTTCATGAAATATTTGTCTACATATTTTTCTTCCTTGAAATCTGATTATTATCGAATCAGCCAAATTAAAGGAAAAAAATAAGATGTTAACATCTGGTATCTACTTAATTAAGACTCATTTTACTTATGCTTCTTTATACTACGATTAGAAATCATAAACGTATTTCAAGATTATTTATAAAAGCATCAGTTCCCCAGCAGGCGTTTTGAGAAGCCATAGTTTTACATTATTTATCTACCAACGATTGGAACATTACACTCGTTTTGAGCTTCACGAATTTCTACAAACTATCTTTTATAAACGCCACCAATATGTATACTAGGATTCTGTTATTTTTTTTTTTTTTTTTTTTTTTTTTTTAAATCTTTTTTAGAAATTTGAAATACATATAAAATTAGAATTCAAAAAATTTAACTACAAAGAATTTTAATATGTATAAAATATATATAACATGTATAAAATTTATAATAATTAAAAAGAATTTTAATACCTAATTTACTTTAATTTTTTTGATTTTATTGAATATAGAATATAATTAAATATTTGATATAAATATATTTCAATGTTAAGAAATTAAAATATGTCAATTTAAATATTTTAAAAAAACAATAAATAAACTCAAAAATTTAAATACTAACACAGAATAAAATAAAAATTTCTGAATTTCTATTTTTTTAGCTTTCAATTTCTTTTTCACTTTTGAGAATTTAAATAATATGCGAACGGAATTGAAATCTATCATGACATTGTAATATATTTAAAAAATTATTTTAAATGTTTATTACAGAATTTTAAAATATTTTCATATAATAATCTCATAAAAATAAATTTTTTTCGTCTTTTTAAATTTTCATTGAAGATTATTTTACATTTATAAAAATTATTTTACATTTTATATGAAAAATATAAAATTTGTTTAGAATGTTCACTTACCGGAAGTTGTTCAGCAGGGTACACGGAAGTTATCAAAAGATATATCTGGCATTTGTTCAATGATTAAAATAAATCATTAAAAATATCTCTCCACTTGATAATGTGCTGAAGAAATATATTTCGATTTTTCTTTTAATTTTCCAGTTTTGTTTTTATCATAAATCATAAAAGTAGCAGATGTTTCCATTTAAAGAAAACGACAATCCTCAATTTCCAATTTCCAAGAATCTTCAATAAACAAATTTTAAAATTTGATTAAGTTGAATTTTATTTTTACACTAGATTTTATTTTGTTTCGTAAATTTTCAAAAGCCATCCATTAAAAAATTAATAATTTAAAAATTTTAAAAATGAGATTAGTATCTTTCAATATCGCATTAAAACGTCCGACACCAGGCGCCGTTTAAGCGCGACTGCCTTCCTTCGGTATTCTATATATCATCAGGTCTTACGCATGCGATTTTCGAGTTACACTCAACTCTTACTCTCTCTCTTTTCCTCTTTTTCTATGTATATATGAACTGTACATATTATGAACTATATGTATATATGAACTGTACATATCTTCGTCGTAATAATACTCGAGAATAATCACTTCTTTGTCGGAATATTCAACTGTTGATTCTGATCACGAGATGAAAAATATAAAACGATGTCTTGACATAGAATTACTATTCTTCAAACTGAATTACTAAATGTCATTTCAAATAATAGTTTTGAACATTCGATTTTTAAATTCTGAAAAAGGAATTGAAATAATTGATAATACGATAAAATTTAAATTCAAAAACAATATGAATTTGCTAATTATAGAATTACAAAAAAATAAGTATATAACACATTTACATATTAACATAACATAACATATTAAAAGAATAAATTGATAGAGTATGTTGGAAAATTATTTATATAAATACACAAAAGTAATTCAATAAATAAAATGAAATATTTTAAAATTCCTAAGATTTGATAAATAAATCAACAAATTATTATAAAAAAATACAAAAATAAATAATTATAATATTTCAATAAAAGTAATTGAGGTGTGGAAAAAACTTTTCAATTTAAAAAAAAAAAAAAATAGCCGATACAAATTTTGAAAAACTTCTGAAAAAAAACAATTTTGATGAAAGATCAATATCAAAATGTTTTAAACGTTATATCATTTATATTTTTAATAAGAAACTATTAAAGAATCAATAGTTCAATTTTATGAATTTTAATTGACTATCAAAATTTGCTCATTTGATAAAGAATTTTTTTTACATATTTTCTTATAAATAAATTGTCATAAATAATCAATACATCTCCATAATAAAATTTTCATCTGAAATATATATACATATATATATATATATATATATATATATAAAGCTCTTATCAGGCAAATTTTGTATTCCATTTGCAATTACGTGCAAGATATTTCATCTCATTAAAAGATTTAAGGCAAATAGACAAATTACTTTTCAAAAGATATTCAATATACAATAAAAATAGAATCAAGAAGATTAATTTATAATATATAATTTGTTTGTTTAAAAAAAAAAACTTCTATTTGCAATTATGATTTTAAACTTTTCAATTTCTATCAAATGTAGCATATAATATATAAAAATATAAACATATAAGAATAATTGAAGAACTTTATGTAAATATAAATAATGGAAGAATTTAAAGTTAATCGATATTCATTATTATGAGTGAAAATAGGTCATTGATATTATTTTTGAAACTATTTGATAGGCTCGAAATATAAGTGGAGGCACGTATTTAATGATGAACGATAACAATACAGAATACTGATAAAGATGATAATGGCTTGTCGGTCATTTTTCAGTCATAATTAAAGCTTGGATATTAAAAACTGATAGTGTTGAAAGTAAACATTTTCATAACATTAAAAAAAAGTAATCATTTTATATTAGATTTTTGTATGATGAAATAACAGACATAACAAAACTTTTTTTATAATAAGGCAAAACATAACATTATAATCAAGAAGTAATCAATAATTATTCGGTATTATAAAAAGATTTATAGCAACAAAAAATCATACCTGCAGATTTTACTTCTTTTTCCTTATAACAAAATCCATTGAACTAAATTTACATTGATAAGTTGATAATTTTTTATATAATCTGGTTTCTTATTGTTTTACGATTTATCTTATATACTGATTATCAATAACATTATTATCGAGTTATTTATGCGATAATCAGAAGTTAGAAACTGCGCATTTTTTTATTTTTCACCTTCATATTTAAGCATGCTGTCCTATTTTAAAATAATTTTCTTATTATATGTATCACATACAATGGAATATTAGTAAATATATAACTTAAATTTTAGTCATTTAATTAAAATTTAATTAAATCGGAAATGATAGCCATTATTTTGAAAAAATTTAATATTATTTGTTTTCATGAAAAGCTTAAGAAATATCATTTTTAAGAATTTAAATTTCCCTCAACTTTAAAATTAATAAATTAAATTAATAACAATTTTGTTATTTATAAAAATAGCACTTGCAACGATTTATATATTCTATTGCATCATTAAATGAAAATAATTTATTATTTACATTTATTATTTTATTATCCTAAAATATAAACAAAAACTCAAATTCTAATTTTTTAAAATTAATAATAATAGAACTTATGAATAAATTAATTAATTATGATATTGATTTACATTAATTTTGCATTTACTTGCGTTAATATTTATAGTATACTATTAAATTATTATTATATATATATAAGTTAAATTTTAAATTTCTACAATTAATGAAATTTGAAGATGATGAAATTTGGTTAGAATCAGTTAATAAATTATAGAATTTACTACAGATATTAGTACAATAAACTATTTATAATAACTTACTCTTACTATTATTATTATATAATAGTTTTAAAATCTAAAAGCCTGAAGTTTTTAAAATTTATAGTAATATAATTTGATTGTATCAATTAATAAAATCATCACAAGTATAATAATATAATCACAAAAATTGTCAAATTCTTCTCAGTATTGATGAATATCATGAATTACTAATAGAATTACTTATCTATTAGTAATTCAGATGAATTAGAATTCATCTGAATTACTAATAGATAAAACATATATCGCATATATCAATAAATAAAACAAAATATAAAACACATTTTAACAATTTTATTTTAACAAATTCATTCAATCTGAATAACAAAACACGATTCATTTCATATTTTGCATTATTTTCAATATTTCTTAATTTTTTTCTTAACAAATTATTATAAATATCCATTTTTGTTTCTAGTTTTCATGTCAACATAAAGATTTTAATTTTTTAATAAAAATAATGAGTAATACTTCAAAAAATGCATGGAAATAATAGAAGGAATATTAATGAAAGTGACTGGAATACAAGAGGCGAAAAATTTACTACTATTTCATGAAAAAATAAGTAACTCATATATTTCTCACATTATCAAAATACATTAAAAAAAAAAAAAAAAAAAA